GTAAGTTAGTACCCGGAAACCGGTACGTTACGTACGACTAGTTAGTAACGTCCGGCGGAACTAGTCGGCCGTCGTGTACGACCGACGGGGGGGGGGGGCTAAAATTGTTTTGAATTTCACGCAAAGCTACACGAGGGCTATCTGCGCTAGTCGTTCCTAATTTAGCAGTGAAAGAAAAGGCAGCTAGTCATCATCACCCACCGCCAACTCTTGGGATTGACCGTAACATTATAACGCTCCCACGGCTAAAAGGGCGAGCTTGTTTGATTGGACGGGGTTTCGAACCCGCGACCCTCAGATTACGAGTCGAGCGCCCTAACCACCTGACCATGCCGGATTCTACACAGCAAAATCACTTTCACTTTAAACATATTCCTATAGTGTCCCTTATATAAAACTAATAAACTTTCACTTTAAACATATTTCTATAGTGTCCCTTATATAAAACTAATAAACTTTCACTTTAAACATATATCTATAGTGTCCCTTATATAAAACTAATAAACTTTCATTTTAAACATATTTCTATAATGTCCCTTATATAAAACTAACAAACTTTCACTTTAAACATATATCTATAGTGTCCCTTATATAAAACTAATAAACTTTCATTTTAAACATATTTCTATAATGTCCCTTATATAAAACTAACAAACTTTCACTTTAAACATATATCTATAGTGTCCCTTATATAAAACTAACAAACTTTCACTTTAAACATATTTCTATGGTGTCCCTTTAAAGTAAATTTAGTTCTAAAACATACAATATCTGTTAGATATCAATGTTAACAGTGATTTATGTCTCCATGCATGTTCTACAAATCTTATCGTTATATAAGTATATAAACATCAGTTTTAGACTCTCTTCCTTCCTTTACACTTGGTTACTTCAAACTGAATACAAATCCACTTTCTTTTTCAGATCCAAACAATTCCAAACTGAATCAATCCTTTTGTTCTTCACATGAAATACAATTCCACCATTTCTTTTATTTTATTTCCACTTCATCGTACAGACAATTGAAATACGTACTTCAAAATCTGTTTATTAACAACAAAAAGTTCCTGGAGAAAAACCACAGAAAAGAGTAAAAAAAAATATCTGTGGTTATTTTACTTTATACAAAAGCACATGAGATCCCATTAAGAACACGGCACTCTCTTTTCAAAGTAACCAAATACAAACGACGTTAAGTGTGTGTACTCACACAGCAGGGTAGCTTTTGAAAAGCTGTGATTAATGAAGTTAGGGTGAAATATCAGGTCATAGTGTCTGCTCTTACGACGGCTACTCTGCAGGTGCAAAGCGGGGTTGGGATGTCAGACTGAAAAACTTTATTTGCGGGCCATGTAATTCAATCATTTCAATTTTTTTTTTAAACAGAACAGAACAACAAGAAATGTTGGTTTATATTACTCCTACCAAGTTCAAGGGTGCTGTAATTTACAGGTAAACCAGCGAAGAACAAACGTGTTCAACAGATGTAGAGTATTATATATATACAGGGCATGTGAAAGTAATAGTGTGTGTGTGTGTGTGTGTGTGTGTTTTCTTATAGCAAAGCCATATTGAGTTATCTGCTATGTTCACCGATGGGAATCGAACCCCCTGATTTTATCACTGTAAATCCGAAGCCTTACCGGGGGACTAAAGTAATAGTACCCCTTATTTTCATTCCACGCAGAAACAGTTAAAAACGACTGTTTACCAAACATGCACCACCTCATACACTGTCGTATGTTTGTTGGTTTGTTTTTGAATTTTGAGCGTAAATACTCGAGGGCTATTTGTGCTAGACGTTCCTAATTTTGAAGCGATAGATTAGAGAAAAGGCAACTAGTCAACATCACCCAACGCCAACTCTTGAGCTATTCTTTACCAACGAATAGTGGGATGAATCTTAACGTTATTACGGCCCCATGGCTGAAAATGAAAAGATATTCGGGGACGGGATTCGAACCCACGACCATAAGATTAATGCACTAATACCCTCGTATGTTTAAATAGGTAAACTTACGACCCCTGCCAATGAAAACTATGAAATTATCACTTCCTGAAACCCCTTGTATGATTAAGAATTCAAATAATATTTTTTTACGATTTATATATATTTTCTGTCGTGAGTAAAATGTAAAAACAATAAGTAAAAAACACGTCTTATTTGGCAAAGCTACAAGATCGGCTATCTGTGCTCCACCCTCTGCAGGTATAGAAACCCGATTTTTAGCGTTATAATCCCCCAGACATACCGTTGAACTACCGGGGGACAATAATCACAAGACAAAACTTAAAGTAAGCGAATGACAGTAGGCTTAATAAATATACCTTTAAATGTTTTACAGTTTTCTTGAAAAAACGAACGCAAGACACGTCTAAGAGTGACCCCTATAAATTTTGATAAATTTAAATATTTTGGTTTTCATCATTCAAAGCCTATTAAACTGTTTTCAAATATTTTGTTCTGTTGTATCGAAAATGCTCTGTAAATTGGTCAACATCCAGTCAACGCCACCAACCGCCAACTCTTGGCTTGTTCATGATCTATAATGGCTCATGATGTGTAAATAAGTAATTTGAACTTTGGTAATATTTCTCTGTATTATTTATAGCATCACAAATTGGACTACTTTATATTTTCCCTCATTTCTAAACTAATAATTGTACTGTATTTGTTTTATGTATTTATTGTAAAGCTACTATGGTTATCTGTCGCCTTTCTTAACTTTCAAATACAGATCAAAGGGAAGACAGCCAAGCAGCAGCACCCCACCATCCAAACTAAAGTATTGACTGTCACTCTTATAACCCAACCACAGCTTAAAGTGTGGAATTAGTTTTGTGGTATCGCTCGGATTCGAACGTGGGCCGCCACCACCCCCCTCCCCCCAAAAAAGAAGAAACAACAATAAAAAAACAGCCAGAAACAGTAACAAACAAAAAGAAGAAACAAAGAAACAAACCACACAGAAACAGTGACAAACATATGAACACCAAAAATTTCCATTTTTAAATTATTCAAATCCACACCTACATAACAAATGTCTGGTACAAACCACACAGAAACAGTGACAAACAGGTACAAACCAATTTCCTCTAGCTTCGTAATCTGAGAATCTTAAGTGGCTGATACTATTTTCAAAGATAAATGTTAGAGTATACTACATCATCACCCTGTTACAGTTGCAAAATCACGACGATGTAGATAATTCGAAAAAAATATCCATTTTTTTTGTGTTTTACGATACTCACCTCAGCTCGTGGAGGACTCTCGGGACTGGACATCAGAGGAGCGTAGTTTCCACCTGCAGAAGAAGTTCACAAGGAGCGGTAATGATAAAATAACCAAGAAGCAAAGCAAAGTATGATTTGTTTAATAAGACACAAGCAGTTACGATTTAAACAAACAGTAATAAAAACCTGCTTTCAATTCCCGCTCAATAACTCATGAAATTATCCGCAAGGTGGAGTTTTTG